TCCAGTTTCATACATTGGGATATTGAAGAATCTCCATCATGACCCAGTGTGTTTAGGGGAGGATGTGGGTAATAATTTAGGAATAACTAAGTTTAGGTCAGGAAAATGTTGTTAATGGGAACCTCGATGTCAGCATGTGATCCTTGGGATCTCTGTCACCATGTCCTGGCTCAGCTTCAGGTCTCCTGTCTGTGACCTGTCCTGGGGTGTCAACAGGTGGATGGACCTGTGAGAGGGGTTCTGGTGGATAAAGGGGGACAGATAGGTTTTTACAGAGTCTGCTCTGCTTTTTACACTGTGGGAAGAGCTGGGGAGAGTCAGCAAGGATCTATCCATGGAGCTCAGGTCCTGAGACAGGTCTAGGGAGTATGTGGAGAGTGGAAGGCAGAGGGTATACTTGGGAAGTTGTCCTGGGATACTGGAGGCACATCTGGGGGTGGGTATAGACCAGGACTCTGTCCAGGTGGTTTTTATGATCCATGTGGATTCTTCATGTGGAAGCTGAGACACATGTTAGAGAAGAGCCCGATGGCTCTCGGGAACCCACACAGAGGGCTTCCCAGCAGGTGGCAGGGGATTTCATCTCTGGGATCCTCTCTCACTCTGCTCCACATGGAATTCTGAGAGCTTAGTCAGGTCCTCCGTTGGGCTGGTTCTGGTCCAGGGACTGAGGGTTGTAGAGGGTGAGGGGGAAACCCTGGCCATCACCCTCACCCTGAGTGCCTGCTGAGCCAGAGGATGCACTGCCCCAGGGAGACCAGACTGTCTGGGCAGCTGTCAGTGGAACTCCTGGGGGCAGATCTGTGCCTGTTTGAAGGAGGGTTACCCTGGGGTAGATGGGTGCTTGTTTAGAGCAGACAGAGTAAGCTCAGACACAGGGTGTTACTTCCCTGATGTTTCTTTTTTTGGAAACCACATCCCTCTCCCAGGAATGGAGAGGTGCCCTGTGTATTCAGTGTGTCTGAGAGAAGGGAACTGACTGAGATAATGGTCCCTGAAACATGAAAGAGCTCATCTAAGAAAAGAGAATTGTGTTCGCACCATCGTTGTCCTCAGTGAGAATGTGGGCACTTAGAGCACAGCTGACAAGGGGAGTGTGTCCCTGGGCCACTGAACAGCCAGGAGAGAAGGGAAACCCTGAAAACAGGGGAAGATGATCCTCTGCCCCTCATGGCTCCTGATCCCGGCTACTTGCCCTGATTCTGGGTCTGAATATCCCCTGCTGGTCCTTAGCAAGGAAAACCCAGCTGATCCAAACCCCAGGATGTGTGGTCTGTGTTCCTTCCTAATCAGGCAATGGGAACACCTGGGGATCCTGGGGCTGGGTTGTAATTCATGAGAAGAGAGAGGCCTATTGGCATGGCCTCCTACTATATAGAGAGGTCTGGGGTTGGACACTGACATAAAGGATGTCATTGCAGATTGTGGTATGTCCAAGGGCACTCATGGCTGATGAGCATTAGCTCTGGTACCTGGGTCTCTGCTCCTCCCAATTGGACCCAACTGATTCCCTCAATCATCTCCTGGAAAAGGGAGCATTTCCAGTGAGGGATCAGTAATGCCTGGCTGGATAAGATGGCGTACTAATGCAGCATGAAAATTATTGTAATAGAAAAATAGGAGAAAGGACAAAGATTTAAATATGATACCTTGGAAGTTTACCTGTATTAACATATTTAGGTGATCAACCATCACAACTAGAGGGAGATTAAAGTGCTAGAGTGTCATATTCAGGAAACAGAAGTTCCACCCAATGCCTTATTTCACATAAAGTAGTCACAGGATGAACTAAGAACAGACTGTGAACCTTGAACCAGTGGACCAAATGTTGGGGGAGATTGGAGCCTCTGTGTGGATCATTGGGAAACAGAAGCATGAACTATAGAAGCAGTAAAGCCAGTTTCAAACATTGGGGATATAGATAAAACTCAATCAAAACTAAGATATTTTTATGACAATGTGGATAAAAAAGTAGGAATAACTAAGTATAGGTTATGAAAATCTTGTTATTGGAAATCTCACATCTGCATGTGACCCTTGGGACCACTGTCACCGTATCCCCACATGATGGGGGGAGGATCAACTGGAACCTGCACTTGACTCAGTGCCACATGGGGCAGGAGGAAGCTCCCAGGGAACATAATGGACTCACACATCCAGGGTTCTTGTTTCATTAGGTTGGAATCTCCCTGTGGTTAAGCCCATTCAAGTTTTCTTTCCTCTGAAACACCCCCACATATTTCCTAGAGTGATGAAGACACTTTGTTGAGAGTGTGCAGGGGCACAAGCCATTTGTGTGATGGTTTTGTACCTTACATGTTTCGAGAGTTACCTTCTAGTTCTATCAATTTTCTTGTGAAGTCTTGTTAAGATCATGTCATAGTCATAGAGCAGTGGTTCTCAACCTGTGGGTCGCGACCCCTTTGGCAGTCGAATGACCCTTTCACAGGGGTCGCCTAAGACCATCCTGCATATCAGATATTTACATGACGATTCATAACAGTAGCAACATTACAATTATGAAGTAGCGACAAAAATAATTTTATGGTTGGGTCACAACATGAGGAACTGTATTTAAAGGGCCAGAAGGTTGAGAACCACTGCCATAGAGATAGAGACAATTTCTTGGCTCCTTTCTGATTTACAGGCTTTTTATTTCTTTTTCTTACCACATCACTCTGACAAGGATTTCCAGTTTTGTTCAATAGAAGTAGTCACTGGGGTGCCTTGGTCTTGGTCCTGCCTGATGTTAGAAGAATTGTGTTCAATTTTTTTCTATGTAGCGTAATGTTACCAGTTTTCTATTGAAATGCAGCATGTATTACGTTGATGTACACCACTTCCATACTAAATGTATTGAGAATTTTTATCATAAAGGTGTTTTAACATTTTCAATGACCTTTTATATCTTTTTACATGAAAATATAATTTTCTCCTTTATTCTGTGGAAGGGTGTATCCAGTTTACTGATTTATAAAGGTTGAACTATCCTTGCATTCTAGGACAATATACCACTTGATGATGGTAAATAATCTTTTCAAGATGTTATTAAGTTTTATCTTATACTAGAGGCCCAGTGCACGACATTGCTACACTTGGGTGCTGGGAGGAGGGTCCCTCAGCCCAGTGTCTGCTCCCTGGTGGCCAATGTGTGTCATAGCCACCGTTCATTCTGCCATTTGGTTGATTTACATATTAGAATATTATCACTTATATAAGACTGTTGAGGATTTTTGCATTTATATACATCAAGGATATGACCTGTCATTTTTGTTTGTGTACTTATTTTGCTTTGGTATGAATGTAGTGGTCAACTCAATACACGAGTTTGGAAGTTTACCCTGTTTTGCATTTCTTGGAAGTGTTTGAGATGAACTGATTGAGAAGATGCTGTTTTTTTCCTTTGAAATTTTGATAGAATTCCCCCTTGAATACATGTGTGATGCACTTTCCTTTGCTGAGAGGCTTTGGTTATTACTTCAATTATTTTTTTAAAATGTACACCCATCTGCAAAGTTAGGGGCGAATTTATAATTGAAGCAACAAATAAGAGGACTGATAAACACAACTGTTGAACTTCACAGGGAGTAGGCAGCACTTGCACATATGTGAAGCTGAGCAGTGACAGCCTAACCAGCATCCTAATTCTGCCTCCCACAGGTAGATCTGAGCAACATGTACTGACAGGGGAGCACCTCGAAGTCCCCAACCAGGGTAAGAATGCCCTCTATAAACTGATGCCCTGGGTGCTCTCTGTTGTCTCTGTGGTGGGCAGGACCAGCTCCTACCTAAGAATCAGCAGTCAAACAAATGTCTGCTTTCAACTTTGAAGAAAGAAGGGATTTTTTGAAGAATCTTACAAAGTTTATCCACTAAAGATTTCTGTGCATGGAGAGAAAACAATGGAAAAAGGAACAAGTCTTCTCACCACATTTAACAATTCCTCCTGTGAGAGTCTACACTCAGCCAGCAGGACACCTCACAGAACTAAGGGACACTGCATTAGGGTCAGTGTGGAAATTACAGTTGTTTGCAGACCACATATTTATTTCATGTGCCACCCAAGAAAATGAAATAAAACCATGTTATCTTGTATAGAATTCATAAAGTGTGTTGTCCTGAGAATGCGCCATCCTTCCCCAAAACACCAGGATCACAAGAAACAGGCCCCAGCCGATGCTCCCTGAGATCCACCATGGATTTCGCTGGAGACACAACTGAGAACAACTCCCAGACCACGGCTGAGTTCAGCGGTGACACTAAGGCACGGCCATTGCTGGGATACTCGGGCATCATCTGAAGGAAAGTTATGGCTGAAGACATCTCTGACAGACTTGTTGGCCTTCCTGGAATGCAGGGAGGTTCACGCAAGTTCCACATTTCATTGTCACAGAGTATTTGTGTGATGATGGTTTCCCAGGCTCACACACCCCTCTGCATTTTTCTTCCTCTAAATGAAAAATGCCTCCTGTGGTGCATGTGAGCAAGTCCCTACTAATTTAATAAAACTGTTATAATACAAAGCCACCAGTGGTAGTCACAAGACCATAGGTCTAGAGAGAATCTGGGAGAAACTGTTATATGGAGAGCAAGCCCAGGATCCTCAGAGGAAACAGCCATAAACACCACCTGCAACTGCTTCTGGGGCCACAACACAGAATCTGTGGGTTCTGAGCGCCCCCTGGTGTCCTGAGTGCCCCCTGCAGCCCAGCCCTGCTGTCTCCCTTAGGGAGGTTTGTCTGGGCTCACACTGACTTCCCCTCACTGTGTCTTTTGCACAGTAATACAGGGCCATATCCTCAGCTCTGATGCTGTTCAATGTTAAGTAAACTTGGCTCTTGGATGGGTCCCTGTTGATACTGAGGTGGTATTTCAGTGTTGAATTACAGTATGCATCTCCAGCACTCCCTATAACCCCGATCCACTCCAGGACCTTTCCAGGAGCCTGGTGGGTCCAGTGCACACCGTAGCTCGTTAGGGAGAATCCAGAGACAGTGAAGGTGAGGGAGAGGGTCTGTGAGGGCTTCACCAGTCCTGGGCCTGACTCCTGCAGCTGCACCTGGGACAGGACACCTGGGGACAAGGAGCATCAGCCATTTCAGTCACCTGCAGTCACAGACATCCCATGACCCCTGTCTGACCCCTGAGACCCTCATCTTGGGGAATTGTCACCATGCACAGGAGAAGACCCAACAGCCTCATCTTCTTCTAAACCACAGCTCTGCCTCCCCAGGGAGCTCAACTCTGTGTGAGGGAGAGCTGTGAGCCTGCATAGCCCAGGAGAGGCTTTACCCTGGAGCTTGAAGAAATATTTGCATATGAAACAGCCCTCTTCTTATAAGTGTAGGGCCTGAGGCTCAGGATACTCTGGTCTTTCTGGGGTCTGTGTGGAGGCATCTCTTCCCTTGATCTCACTCAGCATGTAAGTCAGGGACAGGGGAACACATAAGATATGAGACTCATTGGATTCAGGTCAAAGCACAGGCTCACCTTTCTGAGCATAAGAGGAAACAAGAACTAGATGAGCAGATTACACTTTTACCTTCTCATGCATCTTTCAAACAGATGCAAAAGTGATTAGCATTTGTTTTGACCAATTCTGAATCTCAGAACCATAGTGTAGCCACAATTTGTAAATTTTTAAGTTTCATGTTATACAAACACTTTCTATCCTGGTGCAAAAAATAAAAAGAACAGACATTTTCAATATTTTATGTCTTAACTAGAGTCTCAGTGCACAAAAATTTGTGCACTCAGGGGAGGGGGGTCCCTCAGCCTGGTCTGTGCCTTCTCACAGTCTGGGACCCCTCGGGGGATGACCAACTGCTGGCTTAGGCCTGCTCCCCAGGGGATTGGGCCTAAGCTGGCAATCAGACAACCCTCTGGCAGCATGGGAGCCCTCGGGAGATGTCCACTTGCCTGCATGGAGCAGGCCAAAGTTGCAGTCTGACATCCTTAGTACTGCTGAGGGTGCGGGAGAGGCTCCCACCACCGCCGCTGTACTGGGAGCCATCAGCCTTGCTTATAGCTGAGCAGAGCTCTCCCTGTTGAGCACACTGACCACCAAGGGGCAGCTCCTGCATTGAGTGTCTGCTCCCTGGTGGTCAGTGTGTGTAATAGTGACCAGTCATTCCAGTCGTTCTACTCTTAGGGTCAGTTTGAATATTACCTTTTTATTATATAGGATAGAGGGTTGGTGCATGGGTGGGGGCCAGCTAGTTTGCCCTGAAGGGAGTCCCAGATCAGGGTGGGGGTCCTGCTGGGGTGCCTGGTCAGCCTGGTTGAGGATCTGATGGCTGTTTGCAGGCTGACCCCACCCCCTTTAGGGTGGGGGACACTTCTGGGGTGCCTGGCCAGCCTGGGTGAGGGACTGATGGCTGTTTTCAGGCTGGTCAAGTCCCCCCCCCACACACACACAGTGGGGACCCTCACCCCATGGAGGTTTGGCCAGCCTGGGTCAGGGACAGGGACAGGGAACTACATGAGCTATGAGACTCTTTGGATTCAGGTAAAAGCCCAGGATCACCTTTCTGAGTATAAGAGGAAACAAGAACTAGATGAGCAGGTTACACTTTTACCTTCTCATGCATCTTTCAAACAGATGCAAAAGTGATTAGCATTTGTTTTGACCAATTCTGAATCTCAGAACCCTAGTGTAGCCACAATTTGTAAATTTTTAAGTTTCATGCTATACAAACACATTCTATCCTGGTGCAAAAAATAAAAAGAACAGACATTTTCAATATTTTATGTCTTAACTAGAGGCCCAGTGCACAAAAATTTGTGCACTCGGGAGAGGGGGGTCCCTCAGTCCGGTCTGTGCCTTCTCACAGTCTGGGACCCCTCAGGGGATGACCACCCACTCCCCAGGG